ATACCGCGAACAAATCAGATTTATATTTTTTTTATTTTATTTTGTTTAAGATTTTTCCACGAAAATGAATTTGCAAATCCCAGTTTCGTATAGAGCACCCAAAAACATATAGAATGGAAGAAATTAAAATTATCCCAAAGCTTTCGTGCAAAGAATTTTATGAGCATAATTTCAGTAAACTATAATAGGATACGTCTAGTAGTGTTTATAATGTTTAGTCAGATATTTATTCTTCCCTATGTGGTGTGGTAATTGGTAATATTTTAATGTGGAAATTGATAGTACCGATTAATTATTGATCTGGTAATTCGTTACTGTTTGATTAGATTACCGTTTTTAAATATTTTAGTTGCCGTCGTGGCGCCCCTCGTATACGGCGCCCCGGGCAGCCGCCCGGCCTTTCCGCCGGCCCTGCTCGCCATCCCATGTTGCAGAAAGAAACCCCAAATGTTTTTGTTTTTATTTCTCTTGTACACTATATAGCTATTAATATTTCTTATTTATCTTCTTAGTATCATAAACCGAGTTTATATTTAATGATAAACAAATATTCTCTAATGCTCTCTTGTAACAATTTTTGTAGTCCCTTGGTTTTACCCTCCCATCATAATAAATGCGCTCTATAAGCTCTATTAGCTTGCAGGTACTTTTCGTGTTCCACTTTCTCTCTTCTGGCATTTTTTTATAATGGAGGTGGAGCACTCCGCCATATACTAATGTCATATATTACCAGTACCAGCACTCTACAGTACTAAATTTGTATTTGATATTCTCCGATGGTAGCAGCACCGGCTGAGAATGCACCAAGCTTGTATAGAAACCAATAAGTAAACGAAATTGGCATATATTATTCGCAATATTTTGTTGCCACAGATTTGCATAAGGGTTAAAAATTCCATTCTTCTTTACATATTTGTTTTGCTTTCAGAATGTGATAATATATTGGACAAGTATCACCCACGAGATCACATGCATATTATGTATTTTCCCCTTAAGTAGTGAATTTATGAGATGCTCATGCATATTAAGATTATGTTTATGCGCATTCTTCGTCTAATGAGTATAATAAATATGGACTTAATAGTTTTACGGTAAATGAGCAGTAATGCAAATGCAATTTCTTATTGTGTTCCGTACAACGGAAGGTTAAAAGAAATACATATTACAATTTTTATGAAATAAATAATTAATTATATAATTGTTCAATTAAAATAACGCTAAAACAAATGTATTTCTTAATAAATAATAAGGAAGTTATTTAACTCATGGGCATTAGTAAAACGATATTGCTCGGAAAGCGATAAGAAATCCCAAGAGGCATTTATCACACGATGGGCATTATCGTAAACCCCCATCCATGGTACAATATTTTATTTTTTACTTCATCATTATTACAGTTGCGGGTTGAAACCTTTGGTATTAACAGCAAAATGAAACACTAAATCACCACAATACATCAAATCACTTTTATTTTTACACTGGACGCGCGTTTCGCTAACCATGTTAGCATCATCAGTAGGTGATTAAAACTAAAGTAAAGAAGCTAAAAAAAAGATGGCTCCAAAGACGGCCCAGGAATGTCAATCGATGATAATTTTGGCGAGATCAATCTCCAGACGTCACTAAACAAATATTGACATAAAACTTGTCAATAATTAATACTAATAAATTCGATAATAAGAATATTAAAACAATATTTGATATTTCTCTCTCTCTTTCTTCAGTCCTTAGGGTTACACCACTAGGGTTTACCTTAGAACACCACTAGGGTTTTGACTTGGTCTACCCACCTCTGAGGTGACCTTCCATGTGATCGTCTTCCCTCTACATTCCCCTCCACCATCACTCTCACAATTGAGGTACCACTCCTGGCAATATGGCCAAAATATCGGAGAATTGACTGATTTAATTTGGTAACCAGACGTGTCTCAATTTTTAGTTCTTCGATAATGGGGATGTTTGTTCGATGAGCCGTCCATAGTATTCGCAGCAGCCGTCGATATACCCACATCTCCAAGGCGTTTATTCTTGGCTTATCACTTTCCTTTAGTGTCCATGTTTCAGAGCCATACATAGCTATGGGGAAAATGAGGGAGTTCGCAATGCGCAATTTAATTTTTCGGGTGATTGCTGAAGTCTTCCATATCTTAGTCAGCTTTGTTGTTGCATTCCTTGCCATTACCACTCTGCGCCTGATTTCAGCCTCACCTCCAGAGTTTGCTATTATGGAACCTAAATAGTTGAACTGGCTCACAACCTCGTATCCAGGCCACGGTTCGGCCATCAGGTTGGTTGTTGCGGAGGCGGTCAACAATCATCGTCTTGGTTTTCCGTTTGTTTAGTTCCAAGCCATATTCTTCACTAATACACAGCACAGTGCAGCCATGGCTTCCTACAACTCTTCTTTCCTGGCGGCTATAATCACGGTATCATCCGCGTATCTCAGGTTATTTATCTTCCTGCCTCCCATGGATATTCTACCGTTCCATTCTTCTATTACTCGATGCATGATATATTCAGTATAGATATTAAACATGATTGGCGAGAGTATACGTCCCTGTCTCACACCTGCGTTACTCCTGAAACCACTCGATAATGTGTTATTAGCTCTGATTTCAGCATTATTGTTCTCATAGAGCTGTTTGACCAACTAAATGAGGTGAGGTGGAGTGCCCATTTCTAGTAAAATAGTCCAGAGTTTATTCCATTTTACCTTATCAAACGCCTTGGAGTAGTCCACGAAGCACAGGTACATCTCGATGTTGTATTCTCTGTTTTTTTTCTATGATCTGTTGAAGATTTAGGATCTGTTCTCTAGTGCTTTTTCCGGGGATAAAGCCTGTTTGTTCATCTGATATCTGACTGATTTATTAAACTATTTCACGTTTCCCCGATAACCCGATTAACAGCTTAAATTGCATTTTCGGTTATTTTTTGAATGCCGTTTTTTTGAGAATCGAAAAATTTTGTAAAACTAGATCAACTCCTTTTAGTTACTTCATACAAAATATTTTATTTTGAACCTAAATACATATATATCTTCACGTTATTCGTGAAGTCTCAATTAACCCACTAGGTTAATTGGTTGAGACTTTTACAATTTTTTTTTAATGAAGTACGCCAAATATTCCAGTCAACCACGCCATATATCGCGGTGTTGTTTTTATATTTATTGTATAATCAAGATAAGAAAACAAGTCTATTTATAGTATCGAAGTCTTAATACATACTTGTAAAGATAAAATAGAATACATAGATTGAGACATTTTGTTCACAAATGAATTTTTTGTAGTGTTTTTGATTTTTGCGTAAATATTTTAGCTAACCTTTGAACTACTTAACATTTTTTTTTTTGATTATTTTTATTGATAATATTTAAGGTATTTTTTAGAAATAACAAGGGTACAACTTCAATTAAAACTGTTTAACTTAAACATGTATAGAAAATTGGGCATGCATCTTTGTTCAATTTATTTAAAAAAATCAGCGTAAATCAAAAGATATTTTTAAGTTTCTTGAGGAATTGGGAGTATGTATATGACATTTGTAAGTATATATACTTACAAATGTATAGTTTTCATATTTTTCCTTATACTTGGTTTCCTTATACTTGTAGTATAAGGAATCAAGTTCAACGGAAAATACCCTATAAATTTTGATTCCCTTGAGCTATTCCCATAAACAGCCATATCTTTTTTTTTTACGTTAACTTAGAAGTTTGATTTTTCTCCAGCCTTAAAGGACTGTATATCTGAGTATATGATTTTAATATCAATTTGATACCTCAAGACATTCCTGAGATAAAGGGTCTGGACAGACAGATAGACAAATGATCCAAAAAGGGTTCTAAAAACGTCAATATTTATTATATTATTCGATTATATTCTGTCTGAGAATTACACAAAAACACAGGAAGACAAACCAGCATTCAGTTCTCAAGAATTTCAATTGATTCATTAATATATAAGAAAATACAAGTTTTTCAAATATTCGAAGAAAAATAAGACTTTTTGACAAGAAGATGTTTTTAAAATTATTTGAAAGTACAGTAGAACTTCACTAATTCAGACACCAACCGGACAATTTTGACATTTTTACCTCTTTATTTCGGATGCCAACAAAATTCAAAGGCAATGAATGAAAATCCCCATTTTTCTGGGACGGTGAACGGTTAGTTGCTAAAAAATAGAGCCAATTAAACGATTCTTGTTGAAGAAACGCAAGATTGGATTGTATTGACAAGAAAGAAAGGATACGTAAAATTTCTGTTTCATAGGTCACATATTCCATTTTTTGCTGTTCCGAAATTTAATATTTGAGATATTAAAAAATCAGACATACCAAAAACAAAAAAATTCATATCTACCAAGAACAAATAAAAAAACAATCAAACCATGTACAAAATAGAAAAATGTAAATTAACTTAAGGAGAAAAAGAATTTGTCTCTGATTTGACTGAAGAGTAGGCCGAGACAAATTGAAGAGAAAATACTAGGCATTGGAAACAAAGGAAACAAATGACAACTTAAGTGAAACAGAGGATAACAATGTTGTGTTAAAAATGAAACTGGGTAGAAGAAATCGATGTTTCTACGCAAGATTGTTTGCTTTTGAAAGGAGTTAAAAATCGATTCATTTTTTTAAAAAACAATTAATTCAAATCAGTCAATTCCATCCAAATTTAATATTAATTTCACATTTGCTGACATTTTTATGTAAGTATTTAATGTGTATTACTTAAAACGGATATTGTAGTAAGTAGTAACTAACTGAGTTATGGATGCATGTAGTATAATAAGCACACTTTAGAAGAAAAAAAGGAAGTTTTAGTTGGAATCGAAGTTCTACTGTAGTGAAATAGTAATTTTATGTCATATATTCTACTAGATATTTGATTAAACCAATATGAAAACTTATATACGTACTAATTTAAAAACGATGACAGAAAATTTTGTTAAAACTAGCTTTTTGTGAAAAAAATCCAAAAAAATATAACTTACGAAGAAGCCTATCGTGCGATGTATCATTTTCCTCCTCATTGTCCGTTTGAATTTCGTTCATGTCTCGTTTCTAGATGAAAGAACACTCGGTATCTACGAACAGCTACCACTCGCACTGTATCTATTAATCGTTATTTCAATCATTTAAAAGCACTACTCCATATTCCTACTGAGAATCTATGAAAATTCTACCGCTACCGGTTACACATGACCACGCTGAAAAAACACAAAGCTACGCGGAATTGAAACAAGGTTTTTTTTGAATTAACAACACATACTGAAAAAAAACTTAATTAAAAACGTATTTCGGTTTTTCGAATCTGTCACTTCCCGAATTTGAATCAATAATCAATAATGGATCGACGATAGTACACTCTCGCGTGGAGACTAGTTATCGAATAGTTGGAGGTATCGATGTTATCGTCAATTTTTTTGGCGGTTACGAACAAGCTCGTCAAGACGTCGCGGGACTCACGAAAATACGAGCGCGGTATAGAGATGAGATGTTGCGATTAACTGAAGACTCTGTGGATTTTTTAAGTTGTTTTAAGTGACTTACTTGGGAGATGAGTGGGGACGCTTTTGTTTAAATATTAGAACGCATCAGGATAAATATTATTTTTGTTGGATAATTTAATAAATGTGGTATGTGTTTTTGGGTATGTATAGTCAAAGTATACTGTCCGAAGTTTGCTAGATAGAAGTATTTAGTTCTAATGTATCATTTCATACAGGATGTCCCAATATTCCGTGGACAAAGAACTACTGCGTATTTTTAGCCGACCATACCAATAGGTATGGTAGGCTATTAAGAACGGCAATTTTTTTTTAATTTCACTCAAAATGAGTTGTTTGTGTCATAAATGACTTAAATACAAAATATTTTCATGGTGTCTGTCTGTCTGTCTGTCTGTCTATCTGTCTGTCTGCCGTCTGTAACACGATAACTCAAAAACCGCTGAACCGATTTTAACCAAATTTGGCACAAAAATACTGTGGCACCCGAGAATCTGGCCATTAGTTTTTGGTGTGGTTGGGGGGTTGGTAAGGGGGTATGGGAGGGGGCTAAAATTTTTAAAAAATCGTAACTCCAAAATTACAGTAGCTACCTAAACGAGTACCTACCTAAATCAAAACCTTTATCAAAACCCTTTTGATTTTTAGGACTTCAAAAATTGAAAAATTCAACTAAATTTTCACGTTTTTTTAATTTTCTTTAAAATGGCATGGAAATTTGAAAAAGTACAAACTGGATTAACCATTTTAGAACAAGCAAATCTTTTTATGAAGGGTGCATTTTTCTCAAAATGGCAATAATAAAAAAAGTTTTTCCTCTTGTAAAGACAATCCGGGGACATACTGTATAAAGTGCATCCAGTAAAAGCCTATTACAAAAACGGAAGACTTGCAAGAGTCTTGCAGCAAGCCCAAGTCCAAGACTGGACCCTGCAAATCCAAGACCAAGACTACATATTAACTGCGAGACCAACGCCAAAGCAAAAGACTCTTGGATCCCAATTCTGTAATTTAGAAAACGCTAAGCGCTTTTAGACGCTCAGCGTATATGACGTTAATTTTCGCTTGACACGCACTTAACTACCAATTTAGATATTTCCATCTGACTTACTTAGCGTCTTTAGTGATTGCGCTAAACTATTCGAAAACAGCTTGTCGAACTGTCAGTAAAATTGCGATTTTGTGCGTTCTTTTGCTCTTTAGTGAAAACTACTTCTTCTATAAATTCCTCAATAAGTAATTGATAATTTACAACTTGGCAGCTATAAGTATTGTTCAAAACATCGAAAATGCTGAGAAGCGTCTTCAACATTTCCCTCGTCCCTCGTATAATAAGAATCATGACATATCCATTGAAAAACAGGTTGACATAACTCAACAATAGGTTATGAAATTCACGTAACGTTGACATTTTTCATTGTTTTATCCACATTTGATTGCTAGATACCTGAGAAATTGCGATGCTGCCAATATGTGTTCAACGTGTATTCAGAAAACGATTCGCACGGCAACGAGAATACCAAAATCGGGACTGTTTGGCGTTACGCTAATCGAATACTTTCGCCTACCGCTTTGAAAGGGTAACGTTTGTATGTCGAAGTTCCAGAGTTCCGAGGTAACGATTCCAGTTCTCCGAGGAAACCATTCCCCACCCCATACAAAGCACACCTTTTGTCCTTTTTTCGGATTTTTGCGGTTTCTGAAAACTTTGTTAAAACGGATGCCCATTCTTGACATATACTTAACTTCGGAGATAAAAACTTAAATTTACAAATTAATATGATATTTTTTATGATCTGTGTCCCAGGAATGCTTACAAATGTTAAGCCAAGAAAACACCTTGCAAATGTTACCATTGGTTCGTATTCGTTCGCATTGTAGCCATTCGCAACAAAAACCTTTATTATACTGTCCATAATATTTGGTTACGAATATTTCTGTTTCTGAATAATGTACTAATCTCTTTTTCATAGAGTTCAACGATTAATAAGTATATAAACGTTTGAATCGTTGTAAACCAGTTGTAACAACCTGTGTGAGAAACAATTCAATGAAACATAAATTGTCCAAAGTAGTAGATAAGGATCGACTTCCGCCTTTTATATATGATTCGGTGCCGCTATTCGGAGTAACTTGACAGTACTACATGCATAAAGTCTTATCTTCTTATTTTCACTCTCAGTTGTTATTAAATAATTGAGGGAGGCTTAGGATTTTCTTTGAATTTCTTTAAAAAATAACAAGATTACTGTAGGTGACAAAATTTTAACGATAATGTTATTTTACGATTTTTATCTTGGTTCTAGTAAATTTGTAGTACGCGCTACGTAAATATATATGATTCAATATTAATCCTTTGATTAAGATGAATCACCTTAAGTTATTTCTATTCTTTCTTATTATTGTATTTACTTCAATGATATAGTTGTTTATGTTTGTTTTTTTTTATTTACAAGGGGCTCATTAAAGGTCTACTAACTGTTCCAGAAACGTTATTGCATTCCATGTGAAAACCAACTTAAAGCGGAACTCAAGAACCTGGAAGATTCCATCCGTAACATGGAATGGGAATCCTCCAACGGTCTAAGACACTCAAAGACATTTCTCAAGGACTTACTACTGAGAAAGATTGATTTAAGTAAGAACAATCCTCGGATAACAATACACTGTCTCCTCAGTGAACATCTTAGTAGATTGAAGCTAAAGGTATCAGACACAGCTACTTTTGTTGCGCATTTTTTTTGCAGCCGCTGCAAAATTTGCATACAGTGTTCATACACTAGCAGAAAGTAACCCAAAACGCGCCGTTTCTATGCAGCAGCTGCCTAAAAAAGTTGCAGGTCGACACTACATGCTTTTCATATGTTCACACCAAAGCGCTACTTTTGCAACATATTTTGGTAGCCGCAGCCTTGGAGGGGCAACATTCAACAGTACACCACCCACAGCTCAAGGTATCGTGTGTGTGCCTTTTGGAAGAGCAAACCGGATTTGGAATTTTTCATTTTTGGTCGTTCTTTCGAATATTGTGCATGCAATGTGTGAATTTTCTTTTTTATCTATTCTTCGGGTATATATAATTCAGAAGAAATTTCCGAAATAGCGGCTTGTCTTTTCGTTTGGTTGTGATAGAATGGACTTTATTTACGTTCAATAAACACTCCCTTGCTTCTACCGCGTGTATTAAACATTTTACTTGTTCCAAATCGCTTGTTTTGACTTCGACGACATCGCAATTTGTCGGTTAATTCTTTACTAAATACCTACATATAAATCCTGGAGTTAACTGAAAAGAGGTGTATACATTTCGGGCATACCAACAGAATACTCCACCGATGTCCGCAGTAAAAGTTTCAACTGATTAGTAATTTACAAGTGATTTTTGCAACCTTCCTCAACAACTGTTCACACACGGCTATTTCTTAAACTGCGCGCAACAAAAAAGTAGCCTACGCAACCAAGCTGCGATCACAACGTTGCAGGTTGCCTAGGTATTCACACTTGCAGCAGATCAAGTTGCGCAACAAAAGTAGCTATGTCTGATACTACCTTAAGAAACAAAGGCCAATGCAGATTCTGTGTGGAAAATGGAAAACACCAGAACACTTCATCAAAAAAGTTTTCAGTTTGCTGGGAAATGACGGTCGATGACATTTCCCATTTAATTTTTTATACAAACTGACAGCGATCTTCATTTCCAAGCCATTTCAGAAGGTTTTTTTTTCGATCATATTAAATTTTCTACAGTTCATACCAAATAAACTTTTAGTCGCGTGATTAAGTTTGACCGGCACAGCGTTGCCAACTTTTATATATTTTCTTTAATCGAAATATTTTGGGAAACAAAAATACGCATTAATTATAAATATATAAACAGTTATTATTTATATCAACAAAACTCGCCTTCTTAACAGCCCTTAAGGGACATAAAGGGCCATTACTACGTCTTTCCCGCTCAAAATATTCTAATAAAGTTGCGATGAATTTTTTAAGGCTATTAAGCTATCTTGTACCGCTTCGCACTAAATGAGGTTCTAAAAAGAACAATGTTCTACTGCAAGGTCTGCTAGTAAACATTTTCAAGCTTAAAGTATCACAACACTATTTATTTAAACCACAAACTCGTAATACAAAACTAAAGTGTCAAAACGAATGACAATGTCAGGAAATAAATAAATAAATGCGGCAAGTTTACATTTTTTACAGCAGAGCTACCACCCGAAACTCCAGCGCGAAATTTAAATTCCAGTAGTGAACCCGGCCGGCGGCGGCGCGGCGCGACGCCGTATATGTCCATGGTTGGCAACAATGAATTTAAAAATGGCGCCCTCGATTATGTAACTAAAAGTTTAATTGATATGAAATATATTTAAATATCTCCATAGTTTTGAATATTCTGTTTTCCCACTGTTGAGTTTCTATTCCATAATGTCTCCGTGTTTGGTCTAAAAAAATCTATCAACAAATATGAATCGTAATTTTCATAGTAGGTACGTAAAATATTTCGAAAAAAGATAATAATAATAATATTAAATTGATATGGATATGGCACATAACATTTCAAAACAGTTAATTCTAAACGATTATGGTGTTTAGCAGACGTAAATAATAATAATTATAGTAAAGTTAATTACGCGCCAATGAATATAAAATGGGAAAAAATTCGCATTTGTTAATTGATGACGTAAATACGTTGATATCGTTACAAATTGGCAAAATATTTAAGATAGTTTTTATTATTTACCTAATAAATGGATTCGAAATGATCACACAGAACTATGACCATTCTAATAATGAGTTTTTTTGTAAACTTAATAGTTATTAGTTACCTAATTGTAACATTATTTATAATTACTGATCACATCCTGGTGACTAGTTGATTATAACAAACAGTGTCATGGTAGCCTTTGAATTGAACGATCCATCATAATTTTGTTGGATCAATTCAACAATCAAAACAATAAAAAAACAGGAGTGAATATAACTTTATTAATACAAAGCTATAT